ATAGCCAGGACAGATGGGGCTACAGAAAGACTCTGTCTCAAAAAGACCGAAAAATAAAATAAAATAAGGACAATTTTAGGCTGAATTACCAATGTAGCCACTGGTTCTTGGACTCTACAATGGTGCTAGGTGTGGTTTGTCAAAAATAAAAATTGACAGGGAAATGGAATGCCCCCAAAGGATCATACATGAAATATCTGCACTATGGGTTTCACTAGTAAGACATGTGGCCAATAAAACTTTATCACAGGTCTCTAAATGTGGGCATAGCTATTGAAAGCCACAGCCCCATTTAAAGAAAGTCAGTCATAAAGTTTTAAAATTAAAGCATGTATTTTATGAAACTGAGATGTGCAAGATTGTTCTCTTTTTCTATCTCTCTCAATTACTATATATGCCCTTTTTCTCCTCTTCCTTGTATCAGGAGGAAAGCAAGCATGCCTACCACATCCTTCCAAAGACACTAGAATCTGAGTCAAAAACATCAATACTAATGAAACCAACTATGTGGAAAGTTGAAATATAATATATAAATCTTGCTTTCTTTTAGTAGTTTTATCTATTATTTCCTCACTGTAAAAGTGAAAGCACAGCAACACACCTCCTACCATGAAGTTCTGTGCCTTAGCAGAGTCTTTATTATACCTTGAAAATCTACAAACATATATGCATTTTACCATTACTGTTTCTGCTAAATTATATTTGTAGCTTTATGTACTTGGTCATATCTCTCAATATAAATGAAAAATTGGTTCTGTATGCATAAGTATCCCAGAAATGGAGTTGATAACAAAGAATACTATTAAGTTTTATACATGATAATACCTATAAATTATAAGCTTAATTATATTGCCATACAATATGGTTATGTATGTCATAATGTCTCCAGTACAAAATATGACTTCTGACAAAAACATCATATATGCTACTTGATGTTCAACACCCATAGAAAAAAAGGACACCTCTTGAAACTATTCCACTCTAATACGATTTGTGTATGGTTCATCTTGTAATTAGCCTTTGCTATCCTTAAAATGAAATGTGGCAGCAGAGCATAAAATAAACAGTATTATGCTGACATAGGAATATTATGTTATTGTCTGCTACTTTCAAACACATGAGGTAAAATGTAAGCAGGAAGTTAAATTCACACATCTTCTAAGATTAGTTTTCACTTTTCTCTGACATGGCTATTACTGTGTGATACATCAAGTGAAACCGAAAACATCTATCCATTACTTTTGTTGTGCTTTTCATCATTAAATTAATGAACTAGACAGTTTATTATCATTGAGGCATAAGTAAAAATTCATTCCAAATACACACTACTGATTTTTTTTCTTTTAGTAACAGAATGATACCCAACACACCCACAAGAAAATTTACTTTTATTATAAAAAAAAAATCTACAATTACATTTTAGCAAATAACTTTGCTATGGCCATTAATTATTTATGGATGAACAGGCATTAATGAAGTACTGCCAGTAGATGATATATTAATTCAACTATGGCTCAAAAATTACTATAAACTCTCTCATACATTCCTAAATAAGAAAATATTAATTTAGTTGAGGATCTAATTCCTATAGATATTTCTCTCTAAAAACTTCAAAAGTGGGAATGCAAATATTTTCAAAGAATAGTTACGAGAAATAAAATATTTGGTTTTTTTACCCAAGCTTTATCTACATAGCACATGATAATAAAAAGTACTGGATCTTGAACAGCCATAGTTTCAGGCCTATACTAATGTAGTCAGAGGGACTAAAAGGACAGTTTTTGCTCCTTGCCCTCCAAGGTCCTCTTGTTCAGGGAGGACATAGAAACCCCACCAGATGGACTTGAAACAGTATGCAGTCTACAAAGAGAAGGGTCAACTCAGAGGAAACATCTCATTCATGCTTCCAAGTGGAAGCATGGTTGAAGAAGACCTTTGATTTATCTTCACATAGATGGAACTGGTAAGAGAAAGGAGCCAGGAGCTCCTTCCAAACCCATGTGACCCCTGAGGGACACATCCTCAAATGACCTTAAATATAAAAATAAAATTGATTTGGACCAACTCTATAGTCTTAGAAACCCAAAAGGAATAAAAATAAATTTATTTGGAGAAACTGTATAGTTTTAAACACCCAAAAGGAAAGTATAACCAAAGAGTAAAGTCATCAGTATATTTAAGATATTAGGCTTAAGTCTAGATAAATAGTTATTTAGACAATTATTTCTCAATGATGATTTTGTTCCTAACCAGAAAGTGCTGCTCAGATGTAAGATTTCAAATCTTGATCTCCAATACTGTAGTGCCCACCTGCACCTAAGGGAGATAACCAGCTATTGTTCTAAAATGATGGATAAATTTTTTTCCCCCATCTAGAAGTCTTTGAAAGGGAACCGACACTGAATCTAACCACTCAAACAGCTATCAAAATATCTGAAAGCAAATCCTGATCCATCATTCTAGAGTTGAGCCTTGGAAGACAAAACAAAATTGAGGAGAAACCCAATAGAGGGATGCTTTTGGAAGCCCTTGTCAAGAAATTCCAATGGACTCTCATATGAACATTTGAAAATTTTCCCCATTCTGACATTTTTATAGTTCCCTGTCTAGAACTTGTAATGCTAATTACTCTTGCCTTTACTTCTCCTTCACATCTCCTAATTATGGATTCCAAGATTTTCTTTTCCTCCTTGAGATAAGAGTTATGCAATTTAGGAGTGTTTTAGATAGACCCACTCAAGGGGTACACTAGTTGCCTCACCCTGCATCCCTGTTCAGCATGGAAGAAGCCAGAGTGGTCTGCGTCCCAATCCCATATTGGCAATTTGGGTAACCCCTTCATAGGATGGTGTGTGATAAGAATAGGAGGTAGGAATTGGCTAGGCAGTTAGGGTAAAAAGACCCCAAAGAAAAGTAGCCAGTTTCTTCGCTGAAAGTCAAAATGTCCTTGGGCCTCTTAGCAACATACTCTATTCCAAAGACCAAACATGTCGAAAGTATTTGGAAGCTTGTATCTAATCCTCAAAATATTTTAGGGTTACCTCTTCAAAGGGGAGAATGTTAGAGTAGCCAAAAGCCCCATAAAATAAATAAATCAAAGAAAATTGCCCAACAACCCCCCCCCCACAAAAGAATGACTTGACCCCTGCTCTGAATATCAGCTTCTGCAGAGATTCCTGCAGAAGAAATTTCACATCAGTGATCTTGGGACACAGAGACATCTGTGCCAGTAGTCCCGTAGACCCTCATTGAAACCTAAAGATGGTATAGCATTTAAGATATGATGCAGGTGGAACCCTACAAAAACTGTGAGAAACAGTAACTAACTCATGGCATGAAGCATCAGTGTTAGTTTATCTGGGTCTGCTGGCATGAATAAACCTGAGTTGACACCAAAAAAGAATACAAATGGAAGAGGATTTTTATTTGTTTTGTTTATGGTCATTTTGACACAGAGTCTCCTTTTAGCCCCAGCTGGCCTGGAACTCACTATGTAGACCAGGCTAGCCTTGAATTCACAAATCCACCTTCCTCTGCCTCCCAAGTACTGGGATTAAAGGCATGCAGCACTACGCCCTGCTTGTTTTTATTTTAGAGGCAGAGTCTCCCTGTAGCCTCAAGCTAGACTGGAACTACCTATGTATATCAGGCAGGCCTCTGATCTCAAGGATACCTCCCTGCCTCTGCCTGTGAGTGCTGGAATTCAAGGTATTCTCTCTTCTGTATCCCAAACTACTTATGTAGGCATATCTTTTTTAGCTAAACCCTAACTTTTTATTAGGAAGAGGGAAGGGTACAGAAGGAGGTGGGAATGGGGATTGTCCTTGGAAATTTCTTGCTCTTCCAGAGGGGGCCACATTGAATAAATTTCCCTTTATGGCTTAAAAAAAATTTCTAACTTGAATATAAACATGGACACGTCCACACATGCACATGACATTAATCTTACTGAAGTCAACTCACATTCTTGATAGTCATATGACTTAATGATATATATGTGAATTCTTTGACAGTGAATAAATGATGAGATTTTTTTCAGGTTGCAGTTACCTATGAAATTTTTGATACGATTCAAGATTGGAGTCACATATACATGATGGTTGGAATTGGTTTTATCTGCAAAGTTTTTCTACAATATGAATTCTCCAAAGTACAAGACTTGATTGAAAAGTGAAGGGTGAATCAGTCTTGATATTTCTACTTTCTCCAATTTCTGATTTGACATTGAATTAGAAGTAGAGTTTTATAAAAGATTGCACAATGCTATTTTTATTTCTAGGTTTTGTTGGTAAGTATAAGTCTCATGCTGTAGTCTAGTGTTTACATATATATTAAACAGTCTCTATGTATAAGTGTTTCTCTTTAGAATTAATTCTGTAATGCCTTCTAAATATTGCATACAGGACAAAGGATTTGCCACATTCTATAAAATTTTATTGTGTCGCTCCACTATAAATAAAAAATGACTTCAAATATATGACATATAATTGAAAAATTCTACATCATTTATATTTGAAGTGTTCCTCTTCATTGTGAATTCTCTAAAGTTATCTAGGACATGACATGTCAAAAAAAGCTTATCAATTTTTTTATATATGTACATTTTCTCTCAACTATGAATTCTCTAATTTTTCGAAGATTTGATAATTGACTATAAGACATTTCATATTTTTACATTTCTATCATTAATCTCCAGTATGAATTATCTTATGCCTCCTTGGTGCTCAGTTCATACTAAAAGACGTCACATTTTTCACATTTATAGAGTATCTCTTATATGAATTCTCTGATGTCTTCTATCATGAAAATCAAGTAACAGATTTTTCACATTTGTAGGATTTTTCTCCAGTATAAATTATCTCATGATTCCTAAGTACCGAGTTCAGAGTAAAGGACTCGTCGCAATCATCTCATTTGTAGGGTTTATCTGCAGTGTGAATTCTCTGATGTTGGATAAGACTTGAAAATCGACTAAAACACTTTTTACAATTTTCACATTTTTAAGGCTTTTCTCCTGTATGAACTCTCTCATGCATTCTGAATGATGCCTTCATAGTAAAATACTTGTCACGTTCTTTACAATTGTAGGGGTTCTCTCCAGTGTGAGTTCTCTGATGGGCTTTGAAATATGACCCAGAACTAAAGGATTTTTCACATTCATCACATTTGCAGGATTTCTCTCCAGTGTGAATTTTTTGGTGGCTTCAAAGGGATGACATATAAGAAAAGTATTTCTCACATTCTTCTCATTTGTAGGGTTTCTCTCCTGTATGAAATCTCTTATGATCCTTAAGTGATGACATCTGAGTAAAGGAATTGCCACATTCATTACATGTGTATGACCTCTCTTCTGTAGGAGCTCTCCAATGTGCTTTAAGACTTGAAAATTGAATAAAAGATTTTTCACAGTTTTTACACTTGTAAGGCTTTTCTCCAGTACAAGTTATCTTATGCAACCTAAGTGATTTATGCTGAGCAAAGAACTTGTCACATTCTTGATATTTGTAGGGTTTCTATGCAGTATAAATTCTCTTTATGCTCTAAAATGTAATTAAAAGACTTTTTAGTTTTTACATTTGTAAGGTTTTTCTCCAGTATGAAGTGTCTCGTGCAACCAAAGTGATAAGCTCAGAGCAAAGGACTTGTCACAGTCTTTAAAATTGTATTGTTTTTCGCCAGTATGTGTTCTCTGGTGTGCTTTAAAATATGGAAAGTAGCTAAAAGACTTTTCACAGTTTTCATATTTGTAAGGTTTTTCTCCAGTATGAAGTTTCTTATGCTTCCAAGTGATTAGCTAAGGGCAAAATACCTGCCACATTCTTTACATTTGTAGGGTTTCTCTCCAGTATGAGTTCTCTGGTGTGCTTTAAGATATGCAAAGTAACTAAAAGACTTTTGACAGTTTTCACATTTGTAAGGTTTTTCTCCAGTAGGAAATATGCATTCTAAGTCCTGACTTCACAGTAAAAGACTTGTGTGGTTGTCATGTGGCTGCTCTCCTCTGGCTATGGCCACTCTCCTGCTCTCTTAGTTCCCCTGATCAGCCGTCCGGTCTGGACCCCAGGGCTGGTGAGGAGACTGTGTCAGCGGAGCTGCATTCAGACACAGGAGACCAGGTTCAGTGACGCAGATCTGGTTTATTGCAGGAAGGCACAAGCTTATATAGGGGTAGTGGTCCAATCACAGCACAGCAAGTAGTTTAAAGGTGAGGTACCCAAGGGTGGTGATTAGGGAGTGGTGAGCTCTAGGCATCAGTCTCATGATCTGCCAATGGGAGCAAAATGTCACAAGGCATTCCTTGTGGCTCCAGCAGTTGGGCCGTTGCCTCAGGCCTGCTGTATGGCTGTCAATAAGACTTTCACCCTGGGCTCAACTCTGTCTCCCACAGACTTGTCACATTCTTCACATTTGTATGGCTTCTCTCATGTATGAATTCTCTGACGTTGGGTAAGACTCGTAAATCAGCTAAAAGACTTTTCACAGTTTTCACATTTTTAAGGATTTTCTCCACTATGAGTTCTCAGATGTATTTAAAGATGTGAAAATTGACTTAAAACTTTTCACAGTCATCACATTTTTAAGGCTTTTCTTCAGTATGAATTCTCTTATGGCTCTTACATCCCAAATTCAGGGTAAAGAACTCAGAACTTTGACACTTGTAGGGTTTATCTCCATTACGAGTTGCCCTATGTCTTCTGGGATTTGGGCTTTCAGGAAAGGCCTTGTCACATTCCTAATATTTGTAGAGTTTCTCTTTGGTAAGAATTGTCTTACATTTTCTAATAGTTGAATTCTCCAGACAAGTCAAAGATGAAGAGTACATTTCAAGTATTGGAAATAACACTGAGAAAATAACACATTCAGAAGAGGAAGGAAGGAAGGAAGGAAGGAAGGAAGGGAGGAAGGGAGGGAGAGGAAGGAAGGAAGAAAGGTAGGGAGGGAGGGAGGGAGGGAAGGAAGGAAAGGGAGGAAGGTTGGTTGATTAAAATTTCTAACAGACCTGAGAATGATTCAAATGATGAAATATAAAACTCTATGGAAAACAAGTAGTAGCTAGATAAAAATTAAAGAAATTTATACAAATAAGACTATAGCTCAAAATTTCTTCACTTTAGTTAAATAAGTGGATATAAAAATCAGAAGGGAAATGTGGAAAGCTAAAATAAATATGGACAATGCATTCAATCCTGTAACAGAAAATATGTGAAAAACAGACTGCAAAAATATAAAACTCTATGGAAAACAAGTAGTAGCTAGATAAAAATTAAAGAAATTTATACAAATAAGACTATAGCTCAAAATTTCTTCACTTTAGTTAAATAAGTGGATATAAAAATCAGAAGGGAAATGTGGAAAGCTAAAATAAATATGGACAATGCATTCAATCCTGTAACAGAAAATATGTGAAAAACAGACTGCAAAAATTGTTAATCAAGGCTGTAAAGGAATATTTCAAATCATACCAAAGGAAGTAAAACTGCAATAACATCAGATCTCTGGTCAACAAATGCAAAGGCCAAGAAAGCATTAAATAATACACTTAGTACACTGATAAACACACTACATAAAGCTGTAAAAAAAATTAATAACCAAAAAATTCAATCCTTAACTTTGATGGAGGTATAAGAGATTTGAAGATATGCACACTCCATGCAAAAGAATAGAATATATAGATGCAGAAGCCACATTCAAATATTCATAAGAACAGAGTAAAGAATTAAATGATAAGAGGACGTGATGTATAATTTTTTATTTTCTGTATATAAATGTATGCCTGCATGTAAGTGCACCTGTGTAATGCAGTGCCTGGGAAGATCAAAGGAGGACATGAGATCCCCTGGAACTTTACTTACGACTTTACCTAGGTTGTTAGCCTAGAGTTGTAGACGGTTGTTAGCCGCTATGTGGGTGGCTGGGATTTGAACAAGACTCCCCTACAAAAACAGCCAGCCAGTGCTCTTAATGGCTGAGCCATTTCTCCAGCCCCAATAACGTGTTTTCTTAAAAGGCTCTGAGCACAGGTTTCAAAGGAAGATCCCTGGTATCAGGAATATGCATGGAGGAGGAATGAGCTTTGGTAATATGAGTCTTTACAAAGTCAGCACATCATTTACTGAAAAATCATTCGAAGATCATGCACACAGAGGTATATTGACTTATAAATTTCTCAGAGTACAAAGGAGAGAAACAAACATGTTATCTATTACAAATTGAATAAGATGTATGCAACCTGTCTTACAATTTCAGCAGAGGAACTCTCTATCCCTATGAATCCAGAGACATACAGCAACAACTTGTTACTAACCTTATACAAAATTGGAATTTTTCACACAAATGTAGCAATACTTAAAGCCTCTGTATTACTTACTTTTCTATTGCTGTGAATAAAACACCATGATCCAGGGAACTTATAGGAGTAAGAAGTTCTAGAGGAAAAGTGTTCATCAAGGCAGGGAGTCAGGGGAGTGGGGGGTTGAAAGGTGATAGCTCACATTTTCAAGGGCACACCTGAAGGAGAGGGAATTAACTGGTAATGGGACAAGGCTACAAACTTCCACAGTCCAGTCCCAGTGATACATTTCCTCCAGCAAGGCCATACAACCTAAACTTCCCCAAACTTCTAAGGATTACTAATGGAATACATAGTATAAAACCACCATATTCCACTACCTAAAGCCCATAGGTTTATGGCATCTCAGAATACAAAATGTACTTAGTCCAACTTTAAGTTCCAATAGACTTTAAAGATCTCAACAATGCACAGTGTGAATTGTGTCTTCTGAGATACAATTTATCAATCGTGAGTGGGCTCCTGTAAGATATGGGAACACTGAAATACCAAAAAATAAATAAAAAGAGTAAGAAGTTCTAGAGGAAAAAGTGTTCATCAAGGCAGGAAGTCAGGGGAGTGGGGGTTGAAAGGTGATAGCTCACATTTTCAAGGGCACACAAGAAGGACAGGGAATTAACTTGTAATGGGACAAGGCTACAAACTTCCAAAGTCCAGTCCCAATGATACATTTCCTCCAGCAAGGCCATACAACCTAAACGTCCCCAAATTTAAAAGGATTACTAACAGAATACATGGTATCCAAATATTTGGAGGCAATTCTCTTTCAAACCACCACATTCCACTCTGTAGAGCCCATAGGTTTATGGCATCTCATAATGTAAAATGTATTTAGTCCAACTTTAAGTTCCAATAGATTTTAAGGTCTCAAAACTGCACAGTGTGAATTGTGTCTTCTGAGATACAATTAATCGTGAGTGAGCTCCTGTAAGATATGGGAACACTGAAATACCAAAATATATATATATATATATGGAGCTGGGTAAACAGTAAATGTCACTCCATGTCCCATGTCTAGAAATATAGTTCCAAGGCACTGAGACTTATTTATCCCTGCAACATAAATGTGTCTTTTGGGCTTGTTCCACTCCCTCTATGTGGATCTCCCTTACAAAGATCTGACACCTCTGGCATCATCAACATCTAGAGGTCTCCACACTCACAGCTTCATCCCATGGCCAGTCATGGCATCTCTGCCATTAAGGGACTTCTTGTAGTGTCTCCCATGCTCATACATATTGCCTGGCCTAAGCAGCACTCCAAAGCTGTGAAGGAAATACCCCAAAATCCCTCAGTCGTGTATCCTTCATTCCAACAAAGCCAGTCACCATTAAGAGGCTAGAGAGAGATGGCTCAGCAGTTCAGAGCACTGGCTGCTCTTACAGAGCATGGTTGGTTTCTCCATAGCAAAGCTCCTCTTCTACCACCAACTTCTGTATTGGTTATTTTTCTGTTGCTGTGATTAAAAAAATCATGACAGAGGTAACTTATAGAAAGAACAGTTTATTTGGTCTTACAATTCCAAAGAGGTAAGTGTTCTTAAAGGCAGGGAAGTACGCGGCAAGTGGTGGGCATGGCAGCATGAGGTGAAAGCTGAGAGCTCACTTCTTCACTGGCAAAGACGAAGCAGAATGAGTAAACGTGAAGGGGGCAAGGGTATGAAAACTAAACCCAACAAGTGACACACTTCCTCCACTATGGCAGAAAGTCCTAAATCTCCCAAAGTAGCAGCACTAATTGAAGACACAGTGTTCAAACACTCGACTATGGAGGACATTTCTTTTTCAAATGTGTTTTGAGTCTTGTGGTGAAGAATGTGATACTTATGTCCCATTTAGTGTGACACACTCCACAGTCACTTCTCTGCAAACTGAGTCATTTAGGGTCTCTGTGTTAACTGCCTTCTAATAAAAGAAGTTGTCTCATGAGGGTTAAGAAATGCAACAATTTGGGAGGTATTTAAAAATGTCATTAGTACCAAGACCTCTTAGTGAGATATAAGATACTGGTCACCTAGGCTGATGATCAATGTAGCCACTGGTATTTATCCCCCATACTTGTGCTTGTGTGGTTTTTCTAAAAAGTTTGTAGAGATATGGAATGCCCGAAAAGGCTCATAGATGAAATGTCTCAACTATGTGTTCATTAGTAAGCTATGTAGCTAATGAAACTTGATCATGGGGGCTCTAAACATGGGTTCATATTTATTCAAAGTTATAGCCCCATTTGAAGAAAGTCAGCCATTTTTTCAAATTAAAGCATGTATTTCTTGAATCTGCAATGTGAAAGGTTGCATGCTCTTTTTTGACTCTATATATCCTTCCTCCTCTTCCTTGTTATTGAGAGAAAAGCAAGCCTGCCAACAACATCCTTCAGAAAACACTGAAATCAGGATCGAAAACACTAATACTAACGAATGTAGAACATTGAAATACAGTATATAAATCTTGTTTTTAGTTGTACATCAATTATTTCTTCACTGTAAAAGTGAAAGCACAGTAACACACCACTTACTATGAAATTACATGCCTTTATGAAGTCTTTATTTATGCTTTAAAAATATACAGATATACATGCATTTTTCTATTATATTTCTGTCACATTTTATTTGTAGCCTTATAGACTTGGTCATATCAATATGAACAAAAAATTGGTTCTGTATGCTTAAATATGCCAGAAATGGATTTGATGGAAAGAATACTATTAAGTTTTACAAATATTAATTCAATACCCACGAATTTTAAGCTTACCTATACTGCCATAAATTATGGTTATGTACAGCATAGTATCTCTGATACAAAATATAAGTTCTGAGAAAAACATCATTTCATTCCCACAGGAAACTATTCCAATCTAGCACGATTTGTGAAAGATTCCCCTTGTAATTAGTCTTTGCTATCCATAACACAAAATGTGGTAGCAGAGCATAAAATAGACAATATTATTCTGATATAGGAATACTATGTTATTAACTGCCATTTTCAAAGACATAAGCTAAAATCTAACTAGAATGTTAAATTCACACATTTTCTAAAATTAGTTTCCACTTTTTTCTGATATGGCTACTTCTGTTTCCTACATCAAGTGAAACTGAAAACATCTACCCATTATTTCTATTGTGCTGTTCATTGAGGCATGAGTAAAAACTAATTGCAAATACACAATGTTGAAAAATACACAATACTAATCTTTTAGTAAAACAGAAAGATGTCCACCATACTCACATCACAGGAAAATGTACTTTTATTATAACAAAGAAACCATATCTACAATTACATTTTAGTGAGAAACAACTTTCCTCTTGCCATTTATTATTAACAGGCATTAATGAAATATTGCTAGTAGGTGATATGTTAATTCAACTATATCTCAACAATTACTCTAAACTATCATACATTCCTAAAGAAGATAAAATAAACTTAACTGAGGAACAAATTCCTATAGAGATTTCTCAACTAAAAATTTCAAATCTGGGAATACAAATAATTGTGAAGAATTGTTACATATAATAAAATAACATTGTTTTCCCATGCTGTAGTCTACTATTGACATGTATATTAAACACAGTCCGTATGTTTAAATGTTTCTCTTTAGAATTAATTCTGTAATGCCTTTTAATTATCGAGTACAGGCGAAAGGATTTGCCACATTCTATAAATTGTATTTTTGTTTCTCCAGTATAGTCATTGTTCAAATATTTGACATATACTTGAAAAATTCTACACTATGTTTAAAGTGTTTCAATTCACTGTGAACACTCTGGTGTTCTCTAGAACACAACTCATCAAAACAAAACAAAACCATCATACTTTTTTTACATGTATAGGATTTCTCTCCAGTTTGCAATCTCTGATATTTCTAAGATCTGAAAGCTGGCTACAAGAATTGTCACATTTTTCACATTTCTAAGGCTAGTCTCCAGTATGAATTCTCTTATGCCTCTCTTATGCCTCCCTACATTCTCAGTTCAGAATAAAGAACTGGTCATATTCTTCACATTTATAAGGTTTCTCTCCTATATGCATTCTCTGACATCCTCTATCATGAAAACAGTGTAACTGAGTTTTCACACTTTAAGGTTTTTCTGCAAAATGAAATCTCTCATGTTTCCTAAGTACTGAGTTTATAGTAAAGGACTTGTCACAATTGTCACATTTGTGGGGTTTCTCACCAGGCTGAATTCTTTGATGTGCTCTAAGAAATGACACATGAGAAAAAGACTTGTCACATTCATTTACATTTGCAGGGCTTCTCTATTGTATGAGGTCTCTGATGTAATTTAAGATTCAAAAACCTACTAAAAGACTTTTCGCTTTTCACATTTCCAAGGCTTTTGTCCATTATCAATTCTTTTGTGCATCCTAATTGCTGGATATCACAGTAAGACTGGCTACATTCTTCTTATTAGTAGGGTTTCTCTCCACTATGAGTTCTCTGATGTGCTTTAAGACTTGAAAATTGACTAAAAGTCTTTCCACTGTTTTCACATTTGTAAGGCTTTTATCCAGGATGAATTCTCTTATGCACCCTAAGAGGTATGTACTGAGTAAAGGACTTGTCACATTCGTCACATTTGTAGGGTGTCTATCCAGTGAGAATTCTTCGATGAAATATGAAGAAAGGACATATCACATCCTTCACATTTGTCTGCTTTCTCTCCTGTATGAACTCTCTTATGATCCCTAAGTGATGACTTCAAAATAAAGGAATTGTCACATTGATTACAAGTGTAGGCCTTCTCTCCAAAATGAGTTCTTTCATGTGCTTTAAGACCTGAATACTGACTAAAAGACTTTTCAGTTTTCTCATTTGTAAGGTTTTTCTCCAGTATGAATTCTCTATGTACCCTAAATGATAGGCTATGTGTAAAGGACTTGTCACATTCTTTACATTTGTAAAGTTTCTCTCTAGTATGAGTTCTCTATGTCCTTTAAAATATGTCACAGAATTAAACAACTTGTCACAAATGTCACATTTATATGGTTTCTCTCCAGTGTGAAATCTTTGATGTGTTCTAAGAGATTGACATATGAGAAAAGGACTTGTCACATTCTTCCCAAGTATTGGGTTTCTCTCCTGTATGAATTCTCTTATGATCCTTCAGTGATGACTTGTGAGAAAAAGATTTGTCACATTCATTACATGTGTAGGGCCTCTCTTTTATATGAGTTCTCTGATGTGCTTTAAGACTTGAATTATGACTGAAAGACCTTTCACAGTTTTCACATTTGTGAGGTTTTTCCTCCAGTATGGATTCCGTAATACAGCTGAAGTGCTGAGTTCACAGTAAAAGATTTGTCACATTCTTCTCATTTGTAGGGTTTCTCTCCAGTATGAGTTCTCAGATGTGCTTTAAGATGTGATAACTGACTAAATATTTTCCACATTCATCACACTTGTAAGGCTTTTCTCCAGTATGAGTTCTCTTATAGATCCTACATGCCAAATTCAGGGTAAAGAACTCAGAATTTTGACACTTTTTTGTAGTGTTTATCTCCATTATGAGTTACCCTATGACTTCTGAGATTTGTGTTTTCAGGAAAGGACTTGTTACATTCCTCATATTTGTAGAGTTTCTCTTTAGTAAGAATTGTCTTATGTCTTCTAATAGTTGAATTCTCCAGGCAAGCCAAAGGTGAAGAGTACATTTCATGTATCGGAAATAATGCTGAGAAAATAACACATTCAGAAGACGAAGGAAGGAAGGAATGAAGGAAGGAGGGAGGGAGGGAGGGAGGGATAGAGGGACAGAGGGAGGGAGAGAAAGGAAGGGAGAAGGTTGGTTCATTAAAATTTCTAACAGACCTGAGAATTATTCAAATGATGAAATATAAAACTCTATGGAGAACAAGTAGTAGCTAGATAAAATTAAAGAAATTTATACAAATAAAATTATACTTCAAAATTTCTAAACCTTAGTTAAATAAGTGGATTTAAAAATCATAAGGGAAAGTTAGAAAGGTAAAATAAATATGGACAGTGCATTCAATCCTATGTGATAGGAAAAATGTGAAAAATAGAATGCAAAAATTGATCCTGAACAACGTAAGGGAATATTATCAAAACATTACCAAGGGAGTAAAACTGCAATAATATCAGATCCCTGGTCAACAAACACAAAGACCAAGAAAGCACTAAATAATACACTTAACACACTGAACCTAAAGCTGACAAACTTAAAGTGATAACTAGAAAATGTAACCATTAAAATTGATGGAGGTATAAAAAGCATTTGAAGATATGCACAATTTATGCAAAAGAATAGGATATAAGGAATAGGAAGCCACATTCATTAATAAGAACAAAGTAAAGAATTAAATGATGAGAGGACCTGAGGAGTGGACCAAATGCCAGGAGGAATCAACATATTAATATTAAAAGGAAATAAAGACCAACAATCCAATCAATCAGAACACCAAAAAATTACAGTCAATACAAATCCCCTCCATCATATTCTGAAATATGGCATCAAATCACTAAATAATGGGCAGAAATTGAGAATACTAAATGGTGAAATTTAATAGGCCACAAAATAGACTGAAAAAAAAAGTAGGAATAAGCGATAAAATGTCATCACTACATATTAGTAAACCTGAAAATTTATCATTCATAAAACAATTATAAGTGTTTCTACAAAAAAATTTAGGTTTCCTAATTTCATAATATAAAACCTAAGTGGAAAGGAAGGCAAGATACAGCCTGATAAATTTCAAGTGGAATTTATCAGTCCACCACTGTAAAACGTAAATATGATTTTACCATAAAAATTGGGCAGGAAAAAATCTAGGCATGAATTGTTTGGGAATACAATATTTATGTAGTGTACCATAAAGAAAATAAAAACTATTTTCAAAAATATTATTGTCAGATTCACATAGAAACCAAAATAGAAATAATCATGCTAGGGTTTACAAAACATCCATTGTCTAAAATAAAAATTCTAACAAATCTTTTTCATTTTCAAATAGTGGGAAAAAAACCAAAAATAAACAGAAAAAGAAAAGATCTACTCGTTGACAGAACATTCCATTTAAATGCTTTTGTTCTGCTGACATAATTAGGTAAAATTCCACAAAAACGGTGAAATGGAAAATACAACTGACTAAAACTTCTGAGACACAACTTACACAGTTTAAAGAGGATGCTTTATTGGTAAAAAGGGTTTATATTTCTTCTGTGGTAACAAGCATAGCATCCTCCAGTAATATGAAAGCTAGCTGTCAGCAATTAAGTTATTAGGTCAGGACCATCTTGATTGCTCATTGGTTCCTTGATTCATTTCTGTATTTTGTTTAGCTATGTCTTACAATCAAGTTGTTGAGGATAACCAGAGAATTAGCATTAGCACTGGTAAACATTAAAACCTTTAATGTTTACTGGGATACAGGACCTCACTGGCCAATAGCTCTTAAAGAGGTAATCCATTCCTAGCACTGGGATCTTTGTTAGTCAGTGGAGTCTAGTAAAGGTATTATCTCCCCTCTTCCACACAGATGCCTGAACTAGGTGGTCAGAAGTTTGATACAGATATTCCATACACTTTAAGGAACTTTTATAGAGTTCCTTTCTGTACTCCCTTCTCGGTCTTGTCTGGCCCCCTTCCCAATTCCACGTAACTTAGCCTTCCTAGTCTAATGGTCCCATCTCCCCGTTTCAGTCACTGCATCCTACCACTACTCCCAGAAAACCTCCACATCCACCCACCTTCCCATTGCCATTTACTAGTTTCTTGACATTTCTGAAATTTCAAGTTGATACATCAATATCTAAAATTTCAAAGCTAGTATCCCGCTATGAGACAGAACATTTGACATTTGTCTTATGTGTCTGGGTTACCTCACTCAGAATGATGACTTCCAGTTTCATTCATTTACCTGTGAATTTTATAATTTCATTTTTTATGAACAGCTATGTTGTTTATTTTCCTTTGAAATTTTGCTAAAATCTCTGCTGTATCCTCCTGGTCTTAGACTCGTTTTATTTTGTAGATTTTTATTTACTTGATTTCATTGATGTTTTATGAATCTCTTTAGATTTACATTATTTTGATTTAATATTTTCAGTATCAACATATATAGAAAGTTATTCTTTTTTATATTTTTTGGTTTAGTGAAATATAGATTTTTAATGTATTTCTTATTTTCTGAACCATGGTGTAACATTTTCTCTTTCATATCTGACTTTGCTTATCTGGTTCCACTCTCACTTTCTATTGGTTAATTTTGCTAAAGGTTTGTCAATCCTATCAATCTTTTCAAAGAACCAACTTTTTGTTTCATTGGTTGTTTGTAGTTTTATGCCTTTCTATTTCATAAATTCAGCCTTGAATTTATTTATTTCTTCCCATCAACTCTTTTTAAGTGTTGATTCTTCATGGATTTTTAGTGACCAAGACCACATCAAAACTATTTTCATATCTTTATCCATCTTTATTTCGGACGTCTTACTGGGCAACTTTTCATTATTCAAACCTACCTGGTTGTTTGTAAACCTTCTCTCCAGTCACATTTCAGGGAAATTTGTTTTGCTCAAGGCAAGAGACCAGAACAGGCTTAGACATAAGAAGACCTACCTACGAGAAGGAAGCAAATTACCCTTGTTGGATTCTTTAAAAAGTACTGGGATTTCTAACATAACACTATGTTCAGTTGATAGTAGAGATAAAATCAGCTTCCTGAATAATCAATTGGCTATTGTTTTATTCATGGACAGGTGCTTTAGAATATAAAGGAATCTGTGAGTTCGCATAGGCTGAATTTTATCAATGAATCGAACTGCAGCTATGGAAATGGCATTTGAAGATGCCATTACATAGTATGTAATGAAGATATTACATACTAATGGATGATGGAAATTTTAACCAAAAATAATGAAGATGAGTTAATCCATACACAAATAGAAATGTAAAGAAATAAAATATAAACATGCTTTTTTCAATCCCCAGAAATTCCCAACACAGAAGTTTTTTTTTAGTGTAAGATATATTTGTGTAGCACTAGCACACATAATTTGCTATCTGTCAAAGGATGCTCAATAAGTAATTAATTCTGCATGAAAAATCTTCTCACATACTAACACGAGATTGCTGTAGTTCTCCAACATCATTTCTCTGTACAAAGCCCTCTGATCAGAGTCTAGGTATTCCCATTCCTCCTGGGAGATGTCTATGGCCACATCTTCAAATATCAGTGGATCCTAAAATAAAAATTGAGCATTTGAGCATGTGCCCTTGAGGATATTACTTGTCTCAAGGAAACAAGAGATGATTAGTAAACAATTTCTGAAATACATGGGGAACCTGAATTATTGAAAGGGATGTTTCATAATGTAGTAATTCTTTATAATGTACTTGATAACTCTGCAAAAAGAGCATCAGCTACTCCAAATTCATGTCCAACTGTAGGTTTTTTTAAGGAGCGTTTCACATAAAACAAAACCCTCTACACAGTAATACAATTTTCCATACATACTTTAACATAAAATACCAGTTGCACATAATTTTATATGCAAAGTCACATTGCACTGAATGCATGTTTATTTTAAAATTTTGTCAAAATTTACAAAATAGCAAATACATTTTAGCTGCCAGTACTATTTTCAAGATATTCCTATAATTGTCTAAATGAATATACTTAACACATTTTATATATACATCTTTTTTTATATGGAGCTTTTTGCTACTCTAACATTTGGCCCTCTGAAGAGGTAATCCTAAAATCTTTTAGGGATTACCTAAGAGCTTCCAAATACTTTTGATACGTATGGCCTTTGGAAGAGAGTATGTTGCTAAGAGGCCCAAGGACATTTTAACTTTTAGGGAATAAACTGGCTACTTTTCTTTAGAGTCTTTTTACCCTAAATGCCTAGCCAACTCCTACTTCCTATTCTTATCCACACCATCCTCTGAAGAGGTTACCCAAATTGCCAATGGGGAATTGGGATGCAGACCACTTTGGCTTCTTCCATGATGAGCAAGGACACAGGATGAGGCAACCAGGGTACCCCTTCAGTGGTTCTATCTAAAAGACTCCCAAATTGCATAACTCTTATCTCTAGGGGGGAAAAGTAAGTCCTGGACTGGTGCCTAGGAGATGTGAAGGAGAAGTAAAGGCAAGAGTAGTTAACATTACAAGTTCTAGACAGAGAACCAGAAAATAAATCAGAACAGGGAAATTTTTGAATGTTCCTATCAGAGTCCATTGGAATTTCTTGACGAAGAGCTTCCAAAAACATCCCTCTAATGGGTTCCTCCTCATTTTCCTTTTCTCTGTCAAGGCTCGACTTGAGAGTGATGGACTCTGGATTTGTCTTCAGGCACTTTGATAGCTGTTGGAGTGGTTAGAATCAATGTCAGTTTCTTCTGAAAGACTTCTAATGGGGGAGAAAACACATTTTCCATCATTTTAGAACAATACTTGTTTGTCTCCCTTAGCTACAAGTGGGCACTACAGAATTCCACACCAACAGTTGGTCTTACATCTGAGCAGGACTTTCTGCTTA